ATTCGGTTGGCTCTCCGGTTTCTACTGGGAATAACATTCAAGTACCAGAACCAGAACAGGACCGTTAATACCATTAAAATTAACTTTATCTCTACCTCAATCCAGCCGCAATCGATTCCACGCTTTATCAGTAGCTCTATTATAAAAAAGCGACACTACCTCGGGCTAAATACTTAGCATAAATTCACTGAAAAATATTATTATGTGCAAAAAATTAGTCAGACATATTATATGTACAGACTCGCGGAAATATTTCACGAGATTAAAAAATTAAAAATGTAAGAGCTCAAAAGTCGAATGAAACAATGTTGCCACACACGCTACGTTAGTTTTGTTTGTCGATTTTTGTCTGTTTTTTATGCAGAGCAGCAGGAGAGTTCTATACACTGATGTTGAACATAATTTTCATACAACACGGAGTTATTTATTATTAAGCTAGATTAGTCGCGTTTTGTAATGTAATGAATTATTAAAATCAACAGAGTATAAATCATTAACTGTTAAAATTTTTTTTTAATTACTTTGTTTGTTTGGATTAATATTTTAGTGGATTTATTATCCGCTGAACAAAGAAGTAGCTTGCAAATTACAAAGAGAATTTTTATTTTTCAAAAAATTTATCTTCGATAGTGGAAATTTATTACTGTAGTTTAATATGTGACACTTTTTGATTATTGCTTGTAATTTTTTAGTAAATTAACCGACCAAATTTAAACTAATGAAACTGTTAGTAATTAAAATTCTTTTGCTAGTTTAAAATTAATTAGTTGATTGATTTTTGGTTGTCTTCTGGACATTGAAAATCTACAAAATGGTTCATCTATGAGAATTGAAAATGAAAAAAAAAAAAAATGTCTGTGAATTGTTTTTATAAAATTGAAATCCGGATAATTTATTTGGACACGCTTGCACAGTGACAAAGAAAAATTTGAATATATAACCTGATATATCATCGTGTATAGAACAGTATTATATACATATATAAATTCGTTAATAAAATACGCCTGGATTTGCCTTTTTCATGTGAAATTCGTGAGTGCGATATCGCTGCGGAAACTTTATAAGACAGAAAACATGTTTTTCCGTGGATTATGTATCAAAACGCAAATATCTTGGGACGTACGTTAATTAATATTTGTGAAACTCGAGTCCATGCATAACATAATAATTTATAAGAACTTAGAGATAAAATTTATGAAAGCAAATTAAAATTAAATCATACTGATTTTTTCCGTTTAATTTTATTTTATTGATAAATGACCGTACTTACACTTTTTATTAGTTATATGTAAAAATACTTTTTCGTATTATTACTATTTTATGTGAGAAGAAAGTTTGAAAAGGATTATTGAAGTTGTCATAAATTCTATAGTAAAAGACCCTTTTCTTGGTGAACAAACTTCGCACTTTTCGGATTTTTCGAGTAACATATTACTTCTTTAGCAAGATTCTGAACATCGTTTTATCAAAGAAATATTTGTAATGTATGATACTTAATTCGCATACACCTAATAATTTTATTTTATTTTTAAAATCGAAGTAGAATAAAAAAAAATTTTATTATGATTCAATTTGTGTAAAATCATAAAAATAATTCAATGTCTGTAATTTGTTTTTGAAGAAAATTAAATTCAACAATCAAAAAAATAAAAACTTGATAATTAATAAAAATATATTTATTATAAAGCAAAAATACTTGGAATACTTGGAAAAAAAAAAAAATTACTTTTCTACCAATTTAAATGTTATCCAATTACTTGACCTTTAATTTAAGAAAAAAAAAAATTCAACCATAGTCACTGCTAGAGTCGGAATAATTTTGATCGCCAGATTGATTCGGTTTCCAAGTAGGGCTGACGTATTTCTGCACATAAGTAAGATGATATTTATACCCTTGATCATTGTTATTCTTAATGTTACAGTTTACAAACGAACAAGTTCTATAGAGAGTCAAAGGCGTACTGTTGCTTTGATTATCCCCCTCAGGCGCGTACACAAACATTTTCCTTACGTCTCCTCGCCCGTCACTTTTTTCCGACTTTACTATCTTTGGAAAAGCGAATTCGTGAAGTCTAACTTCTTTTTTCTTTCTTCTTTTCTTCAGACGAGTAGCTTGACCAAACTTCCCTTTGATACCATCTTCAGTCTCAATGTGACAATTACAATTCTCAGTTTTACACGATTGTTGCTCGTTGCTCTGCACAGGATCTATTTCTCTGCTCATTCTCTTAAAAGTTTCACAAAGAGACGTCAGAGCTTTTATTGTATCTTCGTCATCGGATATTTCGTTTTCGCTTCTGTTATCTTCAATATCGTCTTCACAAGGGTAGTCAGTGTTTAAGTACCTTTTTGCACTTTTTAATTTGTAAGACAATTCAATGTCTGGGGATTTTTCTATTTCTTCTTGCATAGCTTGTAAGTGCGACGATAAACTTCGGTATTCTTTACTAATATTTTTTAAATATTTTTCACATTTATTCCAATTTGATTTTTTTAAGTCAGTTTCACTTATACAATCACAGGAATTTTCAGATGATTTTTTATTTATCAAATTTTGATTATTAATTTTCAAGTTTTTATAATTATGTTCAAATTTTTCATCAATATGTCCAAATATTTTACTATTACATCGATTTTCATCCTGACAACATTCAAAGGCACATTCATCAGAGCAATTATACAAGCAACAACAATCACTAGCTTGTCTTTCACAATTTTTGAATTTAAAATCACCATCTCTAAAAACTTTTTTCTCCGTTAACGATCTCCGGCAAAAACTTTCCCGAGATTTACTCTTCCTGGAATGACTTTTTTCCGTAAAGAAATCTTTGCCTTCATCTTGACAATCACTTATTTCCGCAATACTCTTTTTAACTTTAAATTTATTTTTGTTTCTGTGTAAATGTTGAACAGAATCATCCTTTTCCGTTTCCTTTCTCTTGCGATCGACTTTGAATTTAGTTTTAGTTTTAAATTTACTTTTAACTTTAAACTTATCCTCAGCCTCGACAGAAGAGTTTGATTCGCAATAACCGGCGCTGGAGGGCGATCTCAACAAATTAGTCCTGCTAATTTTACTCTTTAGCGCGCTTCTTCTTTTAATCCCCGAGCAGCAGTTTTTCTCAACGCGTTCCGTGATTTCGACACTTTTGACCCTCGTGAGCTTTGGATACTTAACTTTGGTCACCTTTTTCAAGCTTTTGTCGACGATTCGTGGCCTGTTGCAAAGAGTGGAGTGAATTGACGCTGCTGAAGATCCTGAAGAATTCTCTAAGGTTAATTTACCAAAAGTTTTATCGTTTTTTGCGGGTACTTTAGCTCTCAAAGGTGCGTGCCTTTTTTTTCTGACACTTTTGTTTGAGGGTTTATGTGAGATTAAAAGTTGACGCGTGCTCGATAAACAGGGACCACATGTACATTTTAATTCCTCTTTCGTATCATCGCCACTACTAAACTTACTTTTTACCAAATCCTCAAGATTTCCCCATGGACGTTGATCCCAGGTCGTTGTTTTTCCATGAATATGTTTCAACTCTGCCATTACCTCATTATTATTATTATTATTATTATTATTATTATTTTATGACTAGCATTATTGTTTATTTATTCATCGTGTTCCGCTTTATGTTTGACATTTTATTCAAACTAATCTGCTCAGTTAACCTTCACACTGACATTTGTAATTTTTTGTTAAACTGAATTTTATGGAATAAAAAACTGAGAAAAGAATTTTACAGAAAAAAAAGTTGTTGAAATATTATTTTTGTATAACCTCATTTAGATTTTTTTTCAATGCACTTTATTATTTATCCAACTTCAAGTTAATCATTCTTATTGATATTTTTTTTTATTATTTAAATAGTAATAATAACAATTTTCTTTTAATTATTGATTTTTTTACTTTGAACATATTTAACCCCTGACAAGCACACATCTAAATCGTATACCTCTTTAGGCATTGAAGATGAAAAGTACCCAACATATTTCATTTTCAAATATCTTGGTTTCTAATAAAGTTAGAGAATTTTTTTTTTTTAAATCAAAGCTCAAAAAATTCTCTATAAATTAGATATAATATTAAATTAATTAGTGCCAATTAAAATAGATAAATATACAATTGAAGTTTAAATATGTACAAAAAATTATAACGAAATAAAATTTTGGGGTGGGTACTTTTTACCTAGTGTGCTTGTCAGGGGTTAAAAAAAATTTTTTTTTTTAATATAAAATCAGTTAATTAAAAAACAGTTGAATAAATTTTTCAACCATTAACTTTGCTCTCGTGCACTTTTTTCTCCCTTTTGTAATTCACAAGTGTTCTCAAAATATAAAACTTTTTTTCTATTCATTTTTTTGCTTTCTCCAGTGTTCATTCGATGTAAACTTTGTTACGAAATTCAATCAAAGTAAAAACGACAGCATTAACTCGATTTTCTGAAAATGAAAAGAGTTTTCAACTTTTTCTGTTATATTTTTTTCAAAAATGTTTAAAAAAAAAGGTGTTTATATTTACTAAAAAAAAATAAGTACGTTTGATTGGAAGTATACACTTGTAATTATCTTCTAAATTATTAAACAACTACAATTATTCATTTTCTAAATGTCAATGTCAGTCAGTTACTTTAAAATAATTCTTTCCCCGGACTCATCTCTCGTAAATTTCTTCAATATTTTTTTTTCTCTCAATCTGTCTTTGTCAGCTCAAATTTTTTTCCTTCAGTCAAACTATAAATTTTATAAACTTCAATTTTTTGACTAAAAAATTACAACACAATATTTTTTTTCCAAATTAATATCCTCAATTATTTATTAAATTTTTTCGAAAAAAACGTATAAATATTTTTGATATATATATATATTCAATAAATAATTTTTTTAATAAAAAAAAACTCATCAATTATTGATTAACTTAAGTACACATTAAAAACTTTTGAATATTTAATCTTGATGTATAAAATTAACGTACAATTTAATAATCTATGTAATGTAATAAAGTCTAATTAGTCGATCAACTCTTTGAGGTTTCTCTTCCGCTTCAAAAAGCTTGCTTTCCTCCGTACTAGTTCTCCATCCGTGGTTTTGATGCCACCGCAATAAAATCCATAATTACAACCGCCGTAGCTGTAAAAATACCCAGCATTTTTTTACATCAATCACAAAAAAAAAAAATATAAATAAATAATAACTCACCTGTAGTCCGAAGCCTTAAAAGTTGAGGGAGAGATTGAATTGAAGGGAGGCCAGAGGGAGAATTTGTTGTAATTTGAATGAATTCCTGGGTCTTGGTTGTCCCTCAGTCCAATTCGAAGGCCGAGAATCGCGATGATTATAATCAAGAAGACGCTCTGGACGACTATAGGCCAGCGGTAGCGCAACACGTTGCTCCAGTGTTCACTTATGCCTCGATCGATCTGTGTACGTTCAACCGGAACAGGTGTGTGTTAGATAGTTATATATAGATATTATATCTGAGACGATTAAGCTGTCAGCGTTGATGGGCAACTAAATCGTGCCGTCAGCTTGATAGAGTCACTCTCACTCTAATAGGACTTGACCGTATCATAGGGCTACACTGTCTTCTACTAACTAACAACTGCAGGGGATGCTATTCTTACCTTCATAGTATCGAAACTTGAGTTTATCTCCAGGGTTTTCACCTTGAGAATGATATCCATGGCTTCTTTTGGCTTGGTATTGTTATTCAAGTCGCGGCGGGCTATTGACATTTCTAATGGTGCCAGCTGGGATTTAAATCTGTTGAGTAAATATAGTTTGTTACTTGATTCGCTTTGATTTTTTGAATTTTTCTATCAGGTTATGAGCCCAGTTTTTATATTATAAGACTCAAATTCTAAATTATAGTTGAGGATTTTTAACAGGATCATATAGAAAGTATAACTACGGTTAGATTAATTGTTTTAATAAATTTTTCAAAAATTGAAATATTTAAGTTCTTGAATTTTTAATCAAATTTAAGTTGATAAAAATCGTTAATGTAAATAAAAATAAGTTTTTTCACAAAAAAAAAGTTTTGTTCAATTTTGAGTTTTTTTTTTCATTTTTAATTACTTAAAAGATAGTCAGATTCGTTATAATTTTTAGAAGTTTTTTAACAGGTTATGGGCCCAGTTTTAAAGCTACTGCACTTTTAAAGCAGTCTTAAATAAATTAATTTTTTCAATATAATAATAATTTCAAGGACTCGAATTTTGACGAAGATTTGAAGGCTTGTTATTTTTTAATTAAAAAAAAAAGAAATAAAAATTTTGCTTATTTTTTTACTCTTAATTACTTAAAAAGTATTTATGACTCATTATCACGTTTAAAATTTTTTGAGAAGATATGAGTTCAGTTTCGGAATTTTCAGAAGTAATTAAGTTAATGATCTAACATTATAAAGAAGTGTCTCATAAATACAGAAAAATTATTGCTTTAATGAGAGTGAAGGATTTATTTAAAAAACTAATTTCTTAAAAATGAAAATTGTAGTTTAATTTTGAGTCAGTAATTTTTGTCAAATATTCTCATTACTTATGATAAAATAAAATGAGCAATGTAGTAGAACCAATCAAGCGAGTTAATAATCCGGAAAAAATGAGTCATCAATGATAAAGAAATAATTATTTGAATTACTGGATAGATTGATAAGTATGTCGAAAAGAAAAGTCATCAATTTTGATAAAAGTTACTTCTCAGTGTAAACTTGGTATACTCTAAAATGACTTGGGAAATTTCTTAACGAAGGTAACAACGTAGTTTAGTAAATTGGCTGTGTAAACACTGGGGATTTATCTGAATGCTAATCAAACTCACTTGGAATAACACCAAGATCTATTATATATACGCAGTCACCTTCAAATATATATATATATATATATAGATCTTTTGGAAGAGAGTTATCTTAGTGATAAAAATCAGCTTACCTCCAATCGGAAATTATAGATTCTGCGGAATGCCCACGGCGAGCGTTTAAAATACCTTTTAATGGACTACTCATTAATTTAACCATTTTCATTATTTACCCAACTTCAATTTATAAAAGTACACAGAAAATTTAACGACTTTTATTAAAAAAAAAATTTTTTTTATTACGTCAACTCGTGAATTTACATCTGGTTATCTTTTATTTCTACAAAATTATATATTTTCTCTCGTTTTCTCAAAACAAATGAAGATTAAAATATTGTATATATATGTTCGGCTTCATTCAGTACACGTAATAATTAGTTCCGTAATTGAAGCAGAAAAAAAATGTATATTCAATTCTTTTTTTTCGGGAACATAAAATACGATAAAAACTCTTGACAACTTAATATTGATTCTGATACATTGAGTTAAAATTTTATTATTTTCAATAAAATGTATATATATTATTAGATTATTATATTGGTTTTTTTGTCTTTATTAAATTACATTGTTTACTTATATTGTGTCAATATTTTGTTATATTTTATTATCTGTATTGTTTCAAATACATTATAATTGATATCCTTAAGGGAATTTGGGGTTCACTGAAATTTTATTAAATAAATAAAAATACAAATAATAAATTTTATATTTCCGGTGTAGTGTAGATAATTCATGCATTCACATCGATAATGAATTAACTTGAATAAAAAAAAATTTTGAACCAAGAAATTTTCATATTTTAAAGAATTATATATAATTTTGAATTAAACCAAGTAAAATTTAATTAGAACAAAAAAATTTTCTTATTGGTTGAATTGTTTAACTTTTTATAATTAATTTTTCGGTTGAAAATTTTTTTTTTTAATTAAGTTAATTTTTTTTTCAGTATATGATTTAGAAATTACATAAACAGAGAACTTCTGAAGATAACTTCAAGTTTTATCTCTATTAAAAAACAAATAATTTTGCCTAATAAAATATAATCATCTTAATAAAATTATTTAAATTTTATTTTACACAAAAGAATAATAATTAATATAATATCAAAACTAACGACCTAAATTTTTAGTCAAATTTATTTACTAAAAATTAATCATATTACAATGAAAAATAATAGTAATAAATATGACGGAGATTAAAGTGAAAATTCAAAATTATTCAAAGAAATAGAGCATGTGCATCACGTGCATGAAAACATTAAAAAGGTCAGGTAGCATTAAGACCCTCACGTCCTTGTGAGTGGAAGAAGTTAGGTCAGCAGATTTTTCCCAAAGGTATGTTTTTCATCAGATTGATTGTGACTTACAAATAGTCTACGAGTCTACAATTTTATTTAAAAAAAAATATCCACGATCTTTAAAATCTCGATCGTGATCGTCTCTTACAGCTACTTTTTTATTTTTATTATTCATTACTCCTCACTCTTTCTTTGATAACACGATAATTGTATCTTTCAATGACGGAAACAAAAATAAAGTCGTGAATAATATTGGAACAAAAATAGAATAAAAAAATTATCTCGCGATCGATCGAATCTTGTCTGTCTCAGTTCATTTTATTTTTGTTTGTTGTTTTTTTTTATCTTTTATTTAGTGTGAAAAAATCTCTTCTCTTATAGAAAATTTAAGCTATTGTAGAATTTTCATTTTAAGGATTAATGGATCTTTTGGGAGCTAATTAAGATAAATTGACATTTAAGAGGGTTTAATAGCAGTTTAAACTCGTAAAAAAAGTTATTTAAACTGAATGAAAAATTCGTTTGTATTTAATCGGATTTATTGATTTTTGTTATGAATTGAATAAAGCACTTTTTTATTAAAAGAAAGTTTATTACATAATGTTGAAAAATAAAAAAACAAAAATTTTATAAAATATATTGTACAGAAATTATAAATTATAAATAAATAAATTTTAAATTAATAAAATTAGTTTTCTTGTTTTATTACGGAATAAAATAGGAAATTGAATTTTCTTTTAAAAACAATTATATTTGTCTTTTATACTTCGTAAGATTTTACTTACTATCGAAAATAATATTACTTAAAATTTTTATAATAATTTAATAATAACAATAATAATGATAAAAATGTATAGTAAATAAAAAAGACCGCGAGTATTTTTATCAGCAAAAAATAATGAAGCAATTTTAAAAATCCATGATAATTTTCTGAAATTTAAATTTAAATAAATATTTACTTTTCATTTGTCATATAAAATATGTATGTTTTATAATTTTTACCGAATAATAACATTTGTATGTATATTTTTTTATTGCTATTAGTTAAGCGGTAAGCAAAAATAACATATTCGATTTTACTGCACGCATCGTTACTTTGCATGTATCGAAATTTATTTAATGGGAACTGAATAAAATTTTCTCATAAATGAAAAAAAAAAAAAAAAAAAAAAAAAAAAAAAAACGACAATGGCTGGAATGACTTTTTTTTTACCTTTATACTCTGGCATTTGACATTTTAATGGGGTTTTAAACTGACCACCTATAAAAAATGGTCTCACTTTAAAAAATTCAAGCTTGGAGTCTCAGTATCCGTATCCCATAGTCATACTCGCGTTCAGGTACTCGATTTTTTGTATTAACAGAGAACTACTTGAATAAAAGTTTACGAGTGATATAAAAAGAATGGAAACGATGTTGATTCACTTGAAACGTCAGAAACTAAAAAGTTACATTTTCAGCGTCCTTTGTCGAGTTAATTAGAGAATTTTTTTTTCCTATTATAAAAACGATAATAATTCTTGAGTTTTTAAAATTGTTGCTAAGAACTTTTAATTTCTAATTAAAAGAAGGTACAATGGGTACTTACATAATTATATTAAAATAGTCGATAGATATTTAATTGAATCAAAAGAGCTTTTATTACAGCATAAAACTTTTTGAAGAAAATAATTAAAAAATTTTCTATCTACTTGGTAATCAATGGCTTTATTATTTAAGAAGATTCAATTTTTATCAAATCGACGCGCATCATCTATTGTCTCGTTCGTAGCCGAATGTTTGATCAAAAATACTTTATTTACTTATCTTTTAACGTCTTGCGAGCTAAAAAGTACACAAAGGAGTTTTTGTAGAATTATATTTTTTTTACAGCATGAGAGAGTATGTCCATGCCCACCCTTAAATGAATAAATCCTCTGCGATTTAATAAAAAATTTCTAATCAATTATTTAAAGTACATAAATTTCATTGTAAAAAATTGGAAAACTTCCGAGTATGGAGTATTTATATTTAAAATAAATTTTAATTAGCTGAAATAATTTTCATAAGTCAAATTACTCACTAATACTTAAAAAAATGTATGTCGATTTTAAGTTTGCATACAAAATTTAATTAAATAAAATTAATTACTTAAATTTTATTGATATTCACTTTTACATGACAATTTTTTAGAATTTCTTAATAAATAAATTACTATAGAGAGAATTTATCAAAAATTGCTACTTTTAGAAACTAAAAAAAAAAATTGATGCAAATTTTTTTAAATAATAAAATTTATTTGTTACCTAAAACTAAAGAAAAAGGTGATTTTAATTATCGGAATCTCTAAATACTCACTTTGTTATTTTTAAACAAATGAAATCTATCCAATAAAATTTTTATACAATAAAAAAAATAACGAATCCATTCCACAGCGTTTTTTTTTTATTAATAAAATTAAATAAAATTACGGTATAACTTTGGGGGAAATTGATTCAATGAAAAATAATCCATTCTTCATTTTTATAATTTCTCAAATTTTTGACAGTGAAGCATCAATTTTTTATGATCACAAATAACAATTAATTTCCGACTTTTTACCTCATGAAAAATCTGTATCATAAAATACGTGCTTACGACTTTGCCATATTGATCTCAGCCTTTCAATAACTTATGCCTCCACTCATAATTCTCCAATTTCACATAAAATCCTTCCATAGATTCTCCGTAAATCCGAAAATTAATTGAATATTTAATAAAATATTTCACTCCGATAAAGTACAAAAATAAGCGTGTGATTTTAGCTGTCGAAAAAAAAAAAAAAAAAAACCTGTAATAAAAATACTCAAAGTTTTATCTCTAAAATAATAACCATTGAAAGTAACGTTTATTGATACACTTCCGTACGACAGTCTCTGATGTCACTTGTGTTCACTTGTATCCTCTTTCAATGGAGTATTGTTATACTCACATAAACATCAAAATACATGTATTTATAATGTATATACCTGTATAGCATACATTTGCGCTGCCCACATAATACGAGTGATAAATACGCTCGACGTTTACGAAACAATCAAGATTTTCCACAATTTTCAAGGGTGCTTTAAAATACTATCACTAAATTTAAAATCACTTCACTTTAATTCTGTTCAAGTACAACACGTTATTTCTGTACAATATATATTTATATTAACTATTGCTATTTTTAATTTTTCAATAATACAAAAATTCAAATTTTGACTTTCAATATTTTAAAATTATCAGAAAAAATTATTTCCATAAGCTTGGATATCTATATCTTAGTATCAATTATTCATTGATAAAATAATTAAACACCCACACAAAGAAATAATGATTTTATAAAGTACCCATACATATATATATATATATATATATATATATATATATATATATATATATATATATA